ATTTTTTTAACTACACAAAGCAAGAGAGTGAACACTGAAAACAACCTCCCTCATTCCAGTTTATATTTGTCCAACCTTTTTTTTATTTTACCCAAGTAATAGCTTTTATTCCTTTACTCATGTACGAATTAATTGCTTCCATATTGAATTTACTTTTGTACTACCACTACTACTACTACTACTACTACTCCCATATGAACATCGAAATGGCCCTCACTGTATTCACCTCATCTGACCCTTTAAACCCTCTGTGCCCAGGGGAGTTTGTTTGGCTTGATAAAACTTGGGGCAAAACGTTCCCCACAAAAAAATGTCACTTAGTTGCACTTGTGCCCTTTTTTACTTTACATATGGGAATTCTACCAACTTTTTAAAAATAATTAGGTTTATTAGAAAAATCGATCTCAGCTTTTTCGGTCAGGGATGACCTTTTTATTACGAGTTTTTCTAAACGGAGTTTGCGTTCCATATGGAATGACGTGAAAAGTTCTTTTTTCCATCTCTGGGTTGTTTTGTGAGGAGTGCGGGCCCCCCCTCCGAGTTGTTTGGCGGGCGGGGAAAGGATGCATCGAAAATTTGTAGATGTTTGTGGTCTGTACTTAGAGGTAGCTCACGACGCAATTTTTCCAACTTCGACTCCGACTGTTGGTCTTCCTGGAAGCGTTTCGGTAACTTTTGACCCAGCATACTCCTGAAAAATTCTATTTAAATTTTGTTCTTTGCGTCAGCGAGCGGAGGGAAAAGGAAACGTAAAATAATGAATGAACTCTGCCAAATTCAGTCTCTTGGGCTGCACAGACTGTGTTTCGGCCATGTCTTTCAAGGGAGCAGCAGAATTGATCCTTATAAGAACATAAGAACGAAGGAACACTGCAGAAGGCCTACGGCCCGGAGGCGGTCCAAGTCCCTAAAAGGGCTTAAGCCAATGCACCCAACCTAGTCAGGTCAGGCACATTTATTAAAAGGGGGGAACACGGCAAACCCACCGTTACACAACTATCAGTTGTGATGAATGGTTTGAAAAACCGACAAGTTTAAAAATTTAAATTATGCGCTATGGGGAAACTTATTCAGGGAAACGTTCGCCACACGTGGCTTTTACATCCAATACAAAGGGAAGGCGTAAAGGGGAAGGAGAAAATGAGGTAACAGTCCCCAACCGGGGTCGATGGTTCATCCCTCAATCTTGTAGAAAGTACAGATAGGAACGAACGAACGAAAGTTCAGGTAAATCCCAAAAGGGGGGAGCGGGGAAACGGGAAAAGACAAGAAAAGTGCTGGAGAGGGAGTGTTCTTTTTCGAAAAATAAGCCCGGGTTAACCCAGCAGCAAAAGGGGTCGTGGGACAGATATTGAAAAAGAAATTTCCCGGTTTTTTTGTTGGGGCTCCGGTGGGGGTAGCTGGGGGTAAGGGACTTGCGACCTTTAGAGTAGAGAGGAGTGCAGAACTGAGTCAGTCTTTTAAACCCCAAAAAACTAAGGCAAAGGGGGGTCAAGAATGGTACCCGTTTGAAGGGACCTGTCGCGGATCCCAAAGGTTATTTGTAAGTAGGGGTTGGAGCAGGACATGCAAGGGTAGAAAAGGTTGTGTTGGTTTGTGGGTCGCGAATTCTTCGTCAAAGGGGAAAAGGTCCCGTAGTCATGTCGTGTCTCAAGTTTTTCTATCTTCGTCACTGAGCCTCCCAGTGATTCACGCAGGGACGTCTAACGGGCATGGGGAGACTGCTTGTGGCGAATCCTCCCAACGACATCAAGCACCCAGCGCAGCGCCCTTGTTCTGGATACGTCTGCATTAAGTAAGTTTGTTTTTTGCTCAAGAGAGAGGCTTAGAGGAGAGAAAGTTTATCAGAGGACGTATTAGGGATTTGTAGAGGTGTTAGTTTGGTGCGTTTAGAGGCATGGTTTCAGGGGGGCGGTAGGTCATGCCCCAAGGGCCTTCTGGCTATTGCATGCCTTGAGTGAATGTGTCCGTGTAAACGAAGAAGGTAGTCAAGATGACGCCCAAGGACAAGTGACAGATTGTGTGATAGGGAAGCAAGTGCGGGTGTCAGCTTGTTCTGAGTTCGACAGGTAATGGAGGATCACGTTTCCTGTAGTTAAAATACGTAATGCTGGATTATGGCGAGTAGCATTGGTTTTGATCCTCCATTTTTGTTCCCCGATGGCTATCCGTCAACCTCATTTTGTGTATTTGGTGTGTGAGTGTAATCTATATTGGCAATGAGTGATAAGTTTGTGTAAAGTCGTCCACTAGTCGTAAGTTACAAGATATCTTTCGAACACTTGTTCAACCTTTGGACGAAAGACCTACTTCGACTATTGGATGTACACTATGACCCCCCCGCCTCCACTGACTTCACGTCACCTCACTACAGTATTAAAGCCACATCTGGCGGCCCTATGCTGTACATTCTACAAAGATTGATGGATCTGAACACATCGACTCCAAGGTTGAGGGACTGATTACCTCATTCCTCCTCCCTCCATACGCGACGCCTTCCTCTTTGTATTGACTGATGAACCACGTTGGCGAAACGTTTCCCCTGAATAAAGATTCCCATATGCCCTGCATAAGTGTCTCAATCTTCACATAGCAATCAGGTCTAACTCACACCCACCCACATCTACTCATGTATTTTATCCAACCTATTTTTTAAGCTACACAACGTTCTGGCCTCTATAACGGTACTTGGGAGTTTTTGTTTCCACCATCCACAACTCTATACCAAATCAGTACTTTCCTTTATCCTCCTTCTGACTCAGAATTTTTCCAACTTTAAAACCATTGCTGCGATTCCTGTCTAGGCTATGATATTTTCAGCACACTATTTATCATCCCCTTTTATTATTCTTGTCTTTCCATTTAAACACCTCAATCATATCCCCCCTAATTCTCACGTCTTTCATAGAAGAGTGCAGTTTCAGGCCCTTAGTCTATCCTCATAGGGAAGGTATCTGATACATGGGATCATCTTTGTCATCCTCCTTTGTACTTTTCCAGAGAATTTATATCCATTCTGTAATACGGTGACCAAAAACTGTGCAGGCATAATCGAAAATGAGGCCTAACCAAGGATGTATAAGTTGAAGAAAACAACCTGAGGACTCCTATTATTTATGCTTCTGATATGGAAGCCCAGTATGCGATTAGCTTTATTATTGCGAACACTATCACTGTTGTCTTGGTTTCAGATTACTGCTAACCAGAACTCCTAAATCTTTTTCGCAATCCGTAATATTAAGATCTACATTATTTAGTTTATATGTGGCATGGTTATTGTCCTGTCCAACATCTGTAAACTCATGAACTGTAGTGTATCCATGAACGTTCCGGAAGTTCAATGAAGCTTTGAACATTTCCAACTGGTTACTCATTCCTTGGATTAGCAGACAGTTATAGTATTTGTAAGGGCTGACAAATTAAAGTAACCCTGTTGGCTCTGTGAACCGTTTATCTACTCTCCTCATAGCACCTCTCTGAGATCAGGTGCAGTCTCCCATACAAGGCGCTTTATTCTCAAAATTAACTACTACTCACCTACCTCTTCAACCTTTTCTCAACGCTACCCAAGAACGTGCTTCAATACCTCAGTTACTAATTAAACCAAGCCCTTCTCACTCACATATGCAGACAAATGCAAAGTTCTGCAGCTCGAGAAGTAAATAACTCTAAATAATACAGAACTTGGCCATGCAGAATACTAGGAGTTATGATAAAACGGAACCTGAAATGAAGACAGCAATGCCTATGAGTACTGTATAAAAAACTTAGAAAAATAAACACATACACAGTATAATTGTGAATCCTTTTATTGATAGCGTTTCGCCCACACATAAGACCCCCAACAATACAAAATGAGGAAACACTGCAGCATGAGTGTTGGCCCATTCTTGCGGGGTCCTTCACAATTCCATCCCACTAACAGGATATTTGTCCAACCCAACATTTCAGCGCTGCCCAGGAAACAAGCCCTGTTAACTTCATTCCACTCATGTGCAAGTTCCACTCCAATCCAATCCTCTCACTCCTGTATTTATCAAACAAAAATTTGAAACTACCCAAGGTTCATCTAGCTTCAATAACCCTTCTAAACGAACTAAGTATGAAGGAACACTGCAGAAGCCTACTGGCCCCATGCCGAGGCAGGTCCTTATCAAAACGACATCTACCTAAAGCT